GTGCAATTATGGCACTGTGCAAAAGTTTAAAATCTGAGTTCTTTATGCGTCTTTTCCAGAGTCTGATTTCTGTCTCAAGTTTTTAGTTGTCTTGGTCAGTAGTTTTCAAGACTATTTGAACATTCATCAATAGTTTCTTATGGACTCTCCCTGCGTTTTTGTGCTCATTCTAAGACCAGTATGCAGTTCTGGTACTTGGGCAGTACGTCGCTAAAAATGAGTTAAAGCTGCAGTATGTAACTTTTATAAACAACATGATTTTTTTTTTACATATCTGTTAAAACTGTCACAATGTTGTGACAGTACGTTATGAGAAAGACAATTTGTGAAAAGGTCAATCTCCTGCACCTCTTCCCAGATCTACCTGATCAATAACAACCAATCCGAAACAGGAGGAGGGTCTTAGCACTGTCAATCAACCTCATGTACTCACTCCTAAGTGTGCTAATGGGGGAGAAACAACTTACCTCTACAAGAAAACCATTTATTCACCATCATCAATGAATATGATAACTATACTGAGCATTCACAACAGGCTTTGCTAGCTGCAGCGTAGCAGAAGGACGGGGAGAGGGGATGAGTAGCGCCACACTAGTTTGTGATTGATGGCGCTAAGGCCTGCCACCTGGCTCTGATTATCACTGGGAGCACTGGGAGAAGACAGAGGAGCACTATTTTTTCACAGATTACCTGTTTCGTACCATAGTGTCATGACATAGTGACAGTTTCAACAAATACGTAAAAAGCAGACAATGTGGAAGAGAGAAAATAAGGATTAGAAATAAACTGTCAACCTGCAGAATTTTAAATATACAAACTATGAAGATATTCCACCCCAAAAAATTCAGAACTACAAATCAAGACCAGCTTTAAATTCATTTTAAAAGGAGTTTCTTTCTACTTTCCTTTAATTTTAAAAGAAAGCATAAAGAAACAAATGAGGTCTTTTTTGCACTGAACCATATGCTGTATAAATCTTTAAAAAGTGTACAAACACCTTTAACACAAAGTCCCTGTTGTTAATAAAATGTAAACACCGATAAGGATTCTCCTGAGCACATTCACAAGAGCGTCGGCTGGACTCCTGCAACACGGCGTCAAGAGCCGGAGACCAGATGTTATCGTTTCCGCTACTCGCTTCATGGCGCGTTAGCAACCAGCATCGCTAGACTTAGACTTCCTACTCTCCTTCCACAGACCATGTGGGCCTGTGGCATCCACAGCCATGTCCATGTGCCGGTCTGGTGCCAACCACCGCAGGAGCAGCAGAAACAGGAAGTCCAGCACAGCACAAAGGGCGAAAATGGAGCCTGCAACGGGGCCGCAGTGAGACCTGAGTCTCCGTAACCTCCTGTCCAGTGGAAGCACCTCTTCTCCAGCTACTCTGTCATACACCTGGGGGATCAAGGGGAACAGCGACAATCACTGTAGAGCATTTACCTTTATCTGTCAGTGAGCTATATAAACATCAACACGTACAGAAGGGAGAACATAAACGGTAGACATTCGAAATGAGATCATCCACCGATCATAATCATGTTGGAAAAAACGGAGCCACCCACTTCGAGTGGAAAGTTGTGACCTAGCAGGCTCTGTTGTTTTTGCAAAGTGTGAGTTTTCATTGCGGAAGGCAGCATGTCAGCACTTGCCTAATACAAGGCAATGTTTGAGCTTACAAGAAAGTGAAACTCATTTAGATTACTATGACCCCATTATGTCTAAAAATAAAGTGTTTCTTAGGGGATAAAAAAATGAATAGATGTGACGTCTAAATGTGTATTATCTAGGAAAATGTCCTTGTACTGAAATTATATTGTAAAACATGCTCATGAATAATTTCCTGGATTTTATGCCCATTGGTTGCGACATTTTGGGTTTTTTATCTTTATATGTCGTTTCTACAAACAAAACGTATCTGATATGAGATATGCCAAATATGATGAAATATAATCTCAGAAGTTGTAAGAGAATGCGTTTGATAAAAGCACTTCCAAGCCAATAAACCTTTATTCTCATTTTGTTATGGCTAGAGCTGTCTACTTTCTCTTAGGATTTGGCTCTGAATCAACTGAATTTCGACCTTTTAGAATCTCAATTTGACGCAATTTTGTTTGCTTGCCGTATTATCCAGAAATTTCCACATTTATTGGGAAAGATGTGTAAAAAAAAAAACAATTAAAGGTTGGATTTTTATTTTTTTGGGGGGTGAAATCATGCTACTGCAAAAACAAATGACTTGCGTGACTCTGAACTTGGCAACAGATCCAAGCATTCATGTCGAGTTCCAACAAGAACCAACCTAAAACAGAATCCTGCCAGTTTTTTGCAAAAACCATCTTTTCTTGGAACTTCCCCCAGCTACAGTCAGAGGCTGTTGCGTTATTTTACAGTCTTACCTTTTCAGTCCTCTCTGCCACATTTTTCCACGTGTAGAGGTTCTTCACGCGAGAGTGGATGGAGGCGGGTGAGGGCACCGAGCCAGACCTCTGCTTGGAAATTACCTTCTCTAATCCAGCACACAAGGAACGAACGGTCGGTTCACACAGTGTGATCAGATCCTCGGGCAACACCTCTGGAATTCCACCCACACGAGTGCTCACCACCTGATGATAAACCAACGCATGGTCAGGATCTCCTCAAGTCAGACATGCCAAGTTCCTCAGATGAGTCAAAATAGTTCCTTGGTATTATATATCATCACACTAATAGAGTGGAAAAACGGAGCAGGTGTCATAACCTGCTTTACTGTGACAGTTGTAGAAAAAAATCAAGAGCAGCCACATTTCAAGTAAATGTTGTGTAATTGGTGAACATGGTTCTCCTGTGTATAATCTCAGCGGATATGCAGCTTTTCTCTGGAGGCCATAGAGCACAGGTGTCAAACTCAGGGTTCACGGGCCACAACTGGCCCTCTCAATGTTAAAGGGACATTTAATTTAAACTTTAAGATAACAGCTGTTTGCTTAAATGTTATTTTATCAGTCAAATCAATTCAGTTTTCATTTGTACAGAACCAAATTACACCGATTTAAAAAGACGCTAGAAATCGCTACGTTTTAAGAAGCGCTAATCGATCACAGAGGAAACTATAATGTTTCAACAGTTTAATGTCAATACATTCTGCAACGTTCTGCCCTTGGAGCACATCTATGACGTAGATGTGGCCCAAACCTGCCTTACAGCCTTGTTAGAGGACGGGAGTAGCAGACGGGATACAAAAGTGAGGAAGTTTAAAGCAGGTTATAAAAGAATGTGCTTGAATTATCATCAATGGAGCAATATCAACTCATCTGCAAACCTACCGAAGCATGGCCTAGTCAGAGTCTAAAGCTAAACCCAATTAAGAATCTGTGGTAAAATGGTCCCCATCCAATCCTACTGAGTTTCAGCTACTTTGCAAAGAAGAATGGTGAAAACGTGCAGTCCATAAAGTTTCTAAAGCTTGCAGAGACATAACCCAAAAGATCAGCAGCTACACGAGATGTGAGATTTACTTCTGCAAAATACCGAGCACAAACATTACAGTTTCACGCGCCACTTTGTGTTGGTCTGTCGCATAATAACCCAATGAAATAAATATATTAAGGTTTTTGTGGTAACTTCACAAAAAAAAAAGTTAAAATCGTAACAAGACAGACAGGAAAACCATCAAAAATAACCCAACACAAAGAAACAGAACAAGTCTCTTGCAGATCTCAAATAAACTGTCATTTTATTGAAACAACTGCATCTTGGTTGGTGTTCTGCAGATCTTTCCTCGAGATCAGCATTTGAGATAAAAGCACAGGGATCTCCTGTCTGAGCAATATGACCACTGCTGCTTAGTGAACAGTTTTTAGTCTTTTTTTTGCTACATAGGTCAATCTGAATGAGTAACTGGATTCTCTAGACCCAGTTTTTAGAATCACCCATCAGTTAACCGGAAGGAAGGAAAACTGCTCCCGCAATACTTAAAACGTGGGATTTTCTCGTAAACCGAACAGCTGATGATAAATGTTGCAACCACAGCACTAATATTTTCACTTCAGCTTTTTTCTTCTCAGCAGGGTAAGAGTTGCTCTGCTAGGTTAGTCACCAAATGGATCAGTTTCTCTGGTATTGTCATCAGACTATTATTCCCTGATGGTCTGATGCAAATGTTCACTTGAATAATCCTGTTTGTCACTCAATGTGCACAGCTGACCTCCACTGTCAGCTGTGGAAAGCTGACCGTTCGAGATGTGCATTCATTAATGTTGCCGCTTCATTAAATCCTTACATACACTCATGTTCGAAATAATATCAGCGTTTAAAAGTTCAAAATAGATTTCATTTCCATGCACAGATAGATTATTAGTATTTATAGCGCTGTTCAGAAACTATGTTTCTTTACAAGCTGAAACAGCTACTGCATGAACTGAAAACATATTTACAGCTTAGCTTTTTCTGAATCCTTAAACTCATATTGGGTTATAGCAGCTGCTTCCGGGAACACACAGACCAGACCAGCTATTCCAGTCCAGGATGATTATGTAGTTTATTTTTCCCCATGAATGGGATTTGCAAGAGCTGTTTGTTGATACCTTGGTGTCACTTACAATTGTTACAGAACACATTAGACAACAGCAGACCATATTTAATCACTTTGTTGCAGATCAGCAGCTGAGATTTTGCCATTTTTGCTACGTTTTGGTCTCATTGCCGTCTTTCTGGTTTTGGCCGCCATTTTAAAACTTAGCAGAGCAACCGTAAATTTTCCTGCACTCGTTTATATATAATTACCTCTACTCAACTTTTTAAATCAGACTTCTTCAAAGTAAAACGTGGAACGCCCCATTTAGCTCTGGAGACACATACGGTATATAAGGCCCATCAGATTGGCGCCTGTTTTCCACAGAATGAATGACACTGCTGATTAAAATCTGCACTCCTTTTGTTTTTAAATGAGCACCACTTAAATAAATAAATAAAAAATCCGGTTACACAGGATGAGCCGGACCATGACTGTTGAATCTGATTGTTTTCTATTGCTCTACGACACTTAATAATAAATGATTAACCCTGTAGAAATGCCATTTCTCCCAAAAACGATAGCTGATCTGGTTATTCGTGTTGGACTTCCCATTACCTGCACACAAGAAATATTTTGTACTCTAATGCTAATTTTAGTATTTATCTATGCAAGTGTAGCTTATAAATACACTGAAGCAAATTAGATATCACTTATTTTTTTTCCTCCCATTTACATTCAGAATTTAAAGGTTATATTAATCTTACTTTCTGATATTTTCTATATCTAAATTAATTTTCAATTTGCTTTGCATGCTCACATGAATTACTGTGGTTATTGTTGCATCACCTGACCAGAGAGGTGATGCAACAGTGATGCAACCAGTGATGGGAGTCAAAAAGGAAGGCTTGCTCTTGTTCATGTCCCAACTCAACCACAATAAAACAGAAGTGAAACTTTTCCAGACTAGAGGACAAGACTGCACAAGACTGTTTTTCCATTGAACAAGGAATTGCGTTTTCTTTCAGGGATTCCCTTCTCACTCGAAAGGGGTTTCCCTTTCGAGTTTAGTCTATTGTTAGGATCTTTACTCTGAAATCCTTCTGATTTCATAACCCTGAATAAGGGTTTGCGTGAGAGCACACCTGCAGTCCACAGCTGGCTCCCTCCACAATGGCCATGCAGAAGGCCTCGGTCAGCGACGTGTTCAGGAAGATGTGACCTTGAACCAGGACGCCTCGCACGTCTTTATGTTCCAGGGCACCAAGCAGACGTACCCTGCAGGAAAACAGAAACAGGATGCAGACGCATTTCGTAAGGACAGCTTCTGGACTTACGATCAGTCACACAAAGACGTGCCAAGAAAAAGTTTATCTTGGTTAAAAGCCAAAAAGCATTGACAGATTTAAGCTCAGACATCTTTTGAGTCACACTGACAGAGCAGGTCTGACCAGGAGATAAAGTGTTGCTTATCATTTTTAAGGGTGATTTTCCTAGGAAAATCACTCATATACAAACTGTGTCCTTAAGAGATTAAATAAACTCTTGTCCGTGGATGATATCAGGACTTGTATCCGTCCAGCAGTACCTGTCATGAAGTTGGTATTTTTCTCTCACTTCCTCCAGCACGAGTCTCTTCGGTCCCTCGCCGCCAATTAAGAAATGCAGATCGGGATGTTTGAGGCAAAGTTCTGGGATTATTCCGCCAAGCAGGTCGATTCCTGAACATGAACACAGAACATGAACTCAGTTAAAGCGAACCAGCCATCTACATTCAGCATCATTTTTGAGGCAGACGTTCTGTGACTTAGGATATGTTTTCTCATGAGACTCAATTGTCAGATCAAAAGAAAGTTTTGAAAATAAGAACCTTAAAGTAAATATGAAATATACCTTTCATTTAGCTCATGTTTCTGTAGCAAAAAAGATGGTTATTTATAATATTGTAATGTTCAATGTCAAGTCAAACTCATCATAATAAACAGAAATAAAGGCTTGAAAACACCACTCCGTGTGTACTCATTTTGTTTTCTATAAACGCCAGATTTCTGTAAGGCAAAGCCTTGACCAAGCAAAAGATTTTTCCAACTGAGACATGAAACTCTGCAGCTGCTCCAGTGTTACCCCGGCCTGTCTGTTTAAAGGGCATCTGCAGGTTTCAGCAAGTCACATTTATGACGTTTTAAGACTGTTTTTAATGTCACTCCTCATCCCGATGTATTACAATTAAACATAGCAAAAACTCTTATTTCTGGAATCTGCCTGAGGCTCTTGGCAGTGAATGTGCTCTTCGCTCACTGTATATAGATCGCTACAGTCTCCACATAGTGCCAAACTTTAAATGTTTTTTGGGTTTTTATGCACAGAATGAACCTAGCCTCACATGGGTTGGCAACAGAAGTGAGCCAGTTGTGAAAAGTCAGTCAACGGGCAATAAATCTGCACTTACCCATAATGGACACACACAAAACAAAACAAAAAAAAACATAAAAATAAAATCGAGCTAGCAAGGTAATATTAGCAGCTAGTTACAGGGTAACCTCAACTGCATTGACTGACAAAACTCAATGACCATGTCTGCACGCAACTTTTTCCTGACAGAAAAATCCTGCAAGGAAAAAAATATATACACATATGGCATTAAACAGCACTGCTACAACAAAACCTAAGACTTGTGATTAACAAATCTAAGGGCAATGTACCTTTTTCTAATGAATTTAGGACATTGTAAGGCGTTAATTTTAGAAACATGATTTAAATGACGTGTGGACACCCAGATTAAGGTGGACATATACATCTTGCTGGGTTTGCAGTAAAAAGCAGAACATTTGAATCTTCTGATCGCTAACTGAGCAGAGCTCCGTGAGATATCCAAACCTGCTGATTAAACTTCTCCCCATCTCGTCATTGACCTGTTTCATGTGGTTTTAGGTTTTCACGACGGTGTTTGTTCACTAATGTTCTCTAGCAAATCTCCGATGTCTTCAGAGTTGAAAAAGATCAAGTGGTATGAACACCTTTGGATGCACTTTAGTTGATTTTGGAACAGATTTGACGCTCCAATCAAGTACAAGCTCTTGGCAACAGAACAGAACGGGTCCAACAAGTTTCCACATGATGGCAAGGAAAAGACATTGTTTATATATTTAAGTTTTAACACAAAGGGTGTTTTTTAGACCTCCAGAGAAAGACTAAAGCTGATTCACAAGTCAGTTTTTGCTCAAGCGCTTGATGTGGTAGTTGAGACGAAGCTTCTTCAACATTCATGAGTGTTTTGTATTCCAACACCACAATCTCATTCATCGTCACGGTTGAAGGATGAAGATTCAAAATGTCGAATTTGAGTTGGAACACAGAAGCATGTTTGTTTTTTCAGGTGTTAATACCAGTGTCCGATTGCACAAGGTGCACAGAATTAGTGAAAGCATTTCACTAAAGTGCTTTTACCACTTTAATGTCTTAGTTTAAACAAAATTAACCAAACTTTAAACATTAAACAAAGGTTAATTATTATTAAACATCAACTTGATTAGAGAGAAACATGGAGATAACAGATTGAATTAGACTCTTTATTGAAATATACTATTGGCAGCAGCAACTAATTAGGGTAATAATTAATACAATGAAAGGCACATTGATAAGCCTGTTCACTTACATATTTCCTGTAAAAGTAGTTGGTGACGTGGCAGGTTGCAAAACAGTCAGGAAGTGCCAACAATATGCAAAGGTGAATGAGAATAAGTAGGGCAGAATTTGCTCTTTGTTGTATAATGCTCTCAGGAAGTACCAGTTTTATTTAGAGATGCTCTGACCCTGGATTTTGGGGTTCCACTCTTGATTTCTTCATTTAAATATCTGCCAATACCCATATTTGTCAGTCCACACACACACCGTGATTTGAGGCTCTAGCATCATAATACATTGCCATTTACTTTAAAGGTATCAGAATAAAGGGGCTATGTGTCATGCGTGTGCAACTCCAACCGGGCCGACATTTAAATGTTCACTGGTTACCGTGGTTTCCTGCATTTATCCGGCTGTTTTAACATTAGCTAGCATGTTGTGGGCATACTACAACTGTTTATCACAGCGTAATAAAATAAGTTAGTTTAAATCAAATTGACATTAGTTAATGAGATGCGTCTTAATGATCCATATAAGAATTAAATGCAGGTGAGTCGATAAATTACGAGAGAAAATGACTCAAACTTCGGTGGCAGATGTCATCACTAGGAATATTTTTAAAAAACTGAATTTATATTTTGCTTGCAAAGGACAAATAGAATACAATCATTTCTTCCTATTTTGTCATCAGTGGGAAAATGGAGATGTAGCTGCACCCAACAAGGCAGATGAGAAACTAAGCCTTCAGAAATTGAAAATCCAACGGGTTGATCCGGAAGCAGTACGAGGTACAGAGACGCTGTGCTAAAAATAAAACCTCTGACAACTGTAGATGCTGCAAATTTTCACGTGGGAGTTACGCCAGGAGGAGAGAGAGGTGATCACTGGTGGTGAATTGTCAAATATTTTATTAGTGTAATAGTAAATAGTTTAAATAGTTAGAATAATGTATTCTTGGCTGCCTTCTGAAGGCGACATGAACAGCAGAGTGGCTGCTGACGCAACGTGACATCGACTGATAATACCTCTGTACTTGAAGTCAAGTATAGAAGGTCAAGAATGGTAGGGTTAGATATACCCGACCCAATAACGACCTCTATACCTCTATACTTGGGGTCAGTCATTGGGTCGGGGATATCTAACCCTGCCATTCTATCGCGCCTTTATTGGCTCCACATGATGCTTACAAAAGTTAACTTTCTGTTCTCCAATAAAGGTTCTTACACTTTTCTAATGTAAAAGTGGCACAGGTTTTCTGACTAAAGAACGAAAATGAAAGGAAAGACACAAAGAAACAAAGAACGAACAGAATCACACATGGATGAAAGACAGAAGGACTGTAAAAGGGAAAAACACCAGGAAAGCACTGATACCATCGTTTTCCGTAGTTTTCCAGTTAGCTTTGCTGTTGCTGCTGAAGCTCATTGTAGCTCCTCTACAAAGCTTCCAGCATCTATCCTCAGTTATTAATACTGTAACAATCCAACAGTTGTCTGAAAACACTCTGTTAAATTTATTCGTGCATTATAAAATGCATGCCTGGGATCATTATAAGACAAGTTTTTTGAGAGAACCCATCACATGCTCGAAGATTTTCTTTACTTTTGGATTACGCAAGTCAAATGGTGTATTCTGTCTCGAACACCTCTTCACATTAATGTCTTCACAAGCCAGGACACCTCACGCATAATTATTTCCATGCAATAAGACTTGACATGGTGCCATAGAACGTTGACTTCTTGAAAGAGTTCCAGGCTGTTGACACACAGATCAAAATTTCTCAAACTTTCACCCTAACAGAAGGGTGAACTGACAAACCCTTTAGTAAAAATTTGTTCTTTTACCATGATTGTGATGAATCACACACGTACGCATGCACTGCAAAGACAAAGATAACCTTTAACCGAGTACTAAAACTGGTTTAACAAGGATGGCATTTGCTTTTACTACGTCTCATAAGTACGGAAGCTTAACGTTTATTATTCCTCATCGCTACAAGCAGGTTTTAATCAATTTTATGCATTCATTTTGGAAGCTTTGTGTAGATTTTTAGCACCTCTAAATTTTGTTTATTGTTGCAAATTAATGGAATAAGACAGAGCCAACGTAGTACGTGGCAGTAATTTAGAGGTGCCGATCATTTTTGGCCACTTTTTAATTTTCAAGTCACACTTAAAGTTTCAGATGAGTTTATATTGAGACCAGTCAGCTACTTTCTGAGTGGCTTTAACTGAGTTTTGGCTCCTTTTCTGAATCACAAAGCCTCTTCAACTGTAAGCATCAAAGAAGGCAGAAATAACCCAAAGAAGACCCTCAGTATCGCTGTACCTTTACGGTAGACAAGCCGGCTGATGACAACAATTGTGATCCGGTCGGGTGGACGCTGTGAAGGGTCCGGGGTGAAATCCGTGGGGTCGACGGCGTTGGGGATAACGGACACGATCTCTGGGTTGAGTGCTGCCCGTAGAACCGTGTTCTCCTTACTGGTGTACGAGACGCACACGATGTGATTGGTGTCACAGAGCGACACGGTCAGGAGCTTGTTGGTCAACACGGAGCTGACGTCAGCAAACCCGAAGAGAGAGTGGTCAGTGAACACCTGAAGAGAAAAAAAGGCTCTTATGTTCATAACAGCGACGAAATGAGAATAGTTTGGTCAGATTCTGGTTTCTGTTAAATGCTACAATTTCCTGGGATCAAAACTGTAGCCCTTCCAGCAAACATTAAAGATGCATTATTTATATTAACAGCAGAGGATAAATTTCATTTTGTGGGAGAGAAAGATTTTATTATTTATTTCAAAACAAAGAAAATGACTATGGAGATTAAATTCTACACGTTTCAGCATTTTATGTTAGTTACTAGTATCAGTTACTGTAAACAGCAGTGTCTCTTGATGTTCCTCAGTGAATGTACATCACTAACTTAGAGTGCATTCACACCAGCCCTGTTTGGTCCACTTTTATCAAACTCTGGTTCATTTGCCTATAAAGTCTGGTTTACTTGGGTAAGTGAGAATGCGCAATGGAACTCTAGTTCGCAAACTCTGGTTAGCCTAAATTCCTATAGGTCTCAGTTTGGTTGAAGTGAACTCTGGTGCAGTTTGAATCCATATGAGGGTGGCAAGAGGACCAGAGACCGCTCCAAAAGCAAGAAGTGGACAAGAAGCGCAGGGCATTATGGGTAAATACAACCAAAACAAGTGTGTGTCTCTAGCGCTAGTGGGACAAATATCTTGTGGTCTTTTACCAAGATATTTTTAGTTGACAAAAGAGATGGCAACCACTAAAATCTGACATCACTCCATTTGTGTACATTTCGTGAAGAAAGAAGTTCTTAGCAGTGTCTTCTTCTTCAGAGGTTTTCATGTTGTTTCTTGGTGCAGCACCACCACAGGCGAGGAGGGCAGGGAACGGGTTTTTCCCAAGGGTTTGGTTTATTTGAAACAGTGCAGTATGAACCACCTGAATATGTAACAAACGTTGCAATTTTGGACACCAATCGAACCAAGTCTACCAGACTATCAGGTGTGAAAGTACCTTAAGATACTTCATCTCTAGATTTCTCTAGAGAAAAGGCAAGATACTAGAAAGACCAAAACATCAATAAAATGACCAGAAAGTCTAGCTCTTGTAGAAACAGCCAGAATGAATAGATCTAATGTTTCATTGCATCAAGAGTACAATTACTGTAATTTTCCTTTTCCTTTGTTACATATTTTATGTTACTTTTGTGATTTTTTTTAGACTTTGATGACACTAAAAACTGCTGTTTGAATCTTCCTCTCCCAGAAAAAAAACAAACGTCCATGCTTAAGAATGTTTTAGTCAAAGGAACCTGGAAGAGCCGAGGCACAGCGTGTTCACCAAACAAACACTCACTAATCAGGACAGACAAGGCCAAAACCAGTCTGACTGAAGTCAACAATATTTTAGTTTTTAACAATAAATGACCTGCAGCTGATGAGCCTAAACACATCCAAGACGTCAGGTCACGTACCGTGTTCAGGCCCAGCGTCTTGGCGTGGAACAGTGCATCGTGGGCCATAGCAGAGAAGGAGCTGTGTGCGTGCACCACGGTGATGCGCTCCCTGACAAACACACAGCGCAGTAGTGGGAGGCTGTGGAAGCAGGTGGTGGCTGTGGACTGGTTGTACATCACCTGCAGGGGCAGGTAGTAGACCTTCAGGCCGTTGGTCAGGTACCGGACGCCTTTCCTACTGCCATAGGCGTGCGTGGCGATTACCACCTTGTGTCCCTTTTCAATCAGACACTGAGACAGCTGGTAAATATGACTTTCTACTCCTCCCATATTTGGATAGAAAAAGTCTGACACCATGCAGATGTTGTGCTTCCGGCTGTGGACCTTAGAAGCATCTCCAGATTCAGTCTGAGATGAGGGAGTGTTCATAGCTCCAACTTTCCTTCTCTGGCCCATTGTTCAGTCTTCTGATGGACTGAAGTCAGTCAGTCCTGAAACATTTGTATAAGAGATCAAATAAAGAATCAACCAGAGACGCCTGATAGAAAACAACCAATCCAAAGGAAAATTTACCAGACGAAGCTAACATAGTTGTAGGATAATACACTTAATCAATATATTACAGTACATACATAAATACAAGCTCAATCAAAAAGGAAAGTTTTAAGCTTCAACTTAAGAATTGACACATGGTCTAAGACTTTGATTAACTTTGCTTGTTTCTCTAACTTATTTATTCTTCTACTTCAGAACTGATTACTGTCATGTTCTGAATGACTGAATCCATATTTTACCCAATTGATACCAAATTACCAGCTGGTGTCTGGGTTCTGAAACATTTTTGACATTCAAAATTTTTCAAATTTCCAAAATTCAGAGCACATTCTCTCTTTTTTTGCCAGATTTTTACATCCATGGATGGATGGATTGTTGAAAACGTAGTTTAGTTGACAGACGGATGGAGGAGTGGATGGATAGATGGTTCATAGCCAAAAATACATGAATGAATGATGGCAAAATCTGCAGAAACCACACAATGCATGCAGATGGATAAATGGATAAAAGGTGGGATGGACATAAACTTCTATACTTTTCCAGACTGTTGACTTCTGCAGTTACTTGCATTATGTATTTGAAACAAAATTGTTCACTTAACAGTTCAAAAACTTCACAGACTTAATGTTAAATATGTTTTGATATCTATAACAGAATAAAAACCTCGATGACAAGTGCTTTCATATGTCTGTCGCTGTCAAATCAGCTTTTATCTGTAGTTGCTTCCTATGACGGCTGTTTTAAAAGCGGGTTTCTCCTCTCACTAAATTTGTCTGACAACGTAACTAGTGGACCCCCATTGCTACAAATACATAATCTAAAAATATTTAACCTCAGGTTTAAGGTAACAAATCCAGGTTTACTTCCATTCATCACGGCTAACTGATTCATTAGCATTAGCATTTACCATCCGTTTCTTTCCCCCTCTTGGCGAAAACAACTTGACATTTCCGTGATCCCAACTGTCTTACCTTTGACGTCAATGTCAGTCTTGTCACAACTTGTTAGACAGACATTTGGACTTTTAGCTTCGTTTTTCAGTTACTACCTCCATGCTAAGCGCATAGCCGCCCCCTTGAAAACATACTACCGCGACACGTAGATGACGTAAAAGTGAAACTACACGGTGTATGGCATGCCGTTAAACATAAAATCAGTTTAACCATAAATTCCAGATAAGTGAAATTGGTTAATAAATCGACATAATAGTTCATTATTTATGTAATAATATAATAAACTATAATTTGTTAATTAACTATTATTAGTTAATTATTAGCTATATTATAGCTATAATATATTATATTTTATTTAGACAAAATACCTAACTGAGATATCTTTAATCAAATTCTGACAAGTATAAATGATGTAAGAATTACAATTGATTTGTAAATCCATTTGATCCATTGTAGATTTCTTGAATTGTACATTTCAACTCAAGAAATCAACAAAGAATTACTGACTAATTTCAACAATTAAATTATGACTAGCCATAATTCCTAAACAGATATCTTAAGTGATGTCAATATTAAATATATCTTAAATGTATTTTCCAATAGGAAATATAAGATTTGACCAGTGAAAAATAAATTGCAGATATATTTTATGCAAATAATGACTAGGCAAAAATTAATTTAGAAATATCTAGAACTGTAATTTTGACTAGTCAGAATTGCTTTTATGATATTTCAGTATCATTACTAATAATAATTACTCTGTCTAGTCAAAGCATCCCAGATTTACGAAACATTTAGAAATTTTAATGAAGAAAATGAAAGGAAATGGGGAAGAAAGTTTGAAAAATGTTCCATTTTAAGATTGTGAATGGGTTGACACTAGTACTTTTAGCTGTTTTAGCACATATAACTATTGTCAAGTGCTATGTGTGTGTTTGAAGAAAATAAATAGACAATATTTTCTGGAGCAGTCTTCAAGTTTATGAAGTTTTTGTTCTCCGCATATTCTACATTTTGGCATTTTTAGTCAAGGACACCCAACATTCTGCAGGCAGTGTTTGGATAGCTCAGTGGCTGCACTATGGAGGCTACTCCCCTAGGAAATGTTTTAAGTTATGAACTGTCATAAAAATAACAAAAAACATTTGTTATGTGTATGTTTTAAACTCATATTATACCCCCTCCCTAACTCCTTCTGAATTAGGGAAAAGTCATAACAATTAATCTCCACACCATCCACAGGTCCATTTTACAATCATAATCACTTTTGCACTGATATATCATAAAATGATGTGTTGGGCAACTCATCACGAAATGTGCACATCATAAAATTTAAAACTTTGTACAAAATGGAAACAAAACATCAGCAACCTGTTTTTATTATTTTAAACATAAATATAGAAAGAATTTTTTTGTCATTACTAAAAATCCTTTGCAACCTTAGTTTGTACTGTAAAGGATTTTTTAAATTGAATTTTTATTTTAAATGTTGCTTCTAAATATGGTAGATAATTAAATGTTTTCAGAAGTTAACACCAAAAGTCTGCTTAATTTTTTGAACAGACATAAACACCCAAGTTACAAACATAGTTTATAACTAAAAATTGTAACGTAGCTGTAAAAATGAACATGACCTCTGAGCTGTAAGATATGTTATTGCCACACTTTGTTAGTGGTTAATCCAGTTCAACAGATGGCACTGTTTATGGAACATTGAAACCTGTTATTGACAAGCATCATTTATCTTTACAGACTTGTCTTTTGACAGTAAATGAAGAAGCTACAGTGGAAAGAGGTGAAGTAAGATGATATGGCAACTTTGGTTTCTACAGTTGTTATCTTACCCGAGTCAACAGCACTTATATCACATCCCGCAAATGGCAGGTGTTTTATAATCTTTCTGTTATGATTCAGTGTGACCTATTATAAATCGAATCAGATACAGAATATAACCACAAACAGATAAGGTGAATCACCTTGTTAAACAAATACTGCAGAAATGGATCAAGAGGCAGAAACTCACCCTCTTCCCACCAGAATGCGTCTTAACAAGCCCGACCACAGGACTGCCGACGCAGCAAACTCTCAGCCATCATCCGGTTGCTCAACACCTAATGTCTCTTTGAGTGACACAAGATTAATTTGTTTTTTTGATTTTGTGAAAGGTCGTTGTGAAAGTAAATCTGAGAAAAATGTACTTGCTGGCTCAGAATGTGCAGCTCTTTGTTTTACAGCGTTAATCTGAGTTGACGCCATAATGTTTACTTCACCTAGACGTAGGAACTATTCCTGATCATCGTATTTCAAAGGTACGAGAGACAAATCCATTTTCATTTGATCAGACATTTAACTTTTGTCACAGTGACTTCATTTCCATATGTATATGTGTAACAAATTTTACTGGGAATATTGGGTTATTTGTTTCCATGCATGTCATCATCTGGAGTACCACATATTTTTTGTTTAATGAAAAATAACATTTATTTTTTTCTGCTCTTTCTTAACTCTACATTTCATTAGGTTGCTGTACATAGGGTATTGTTCCATGTTCTTCTAATTGAGAGTCTTAATCCCTTTAATTATTCCTTACCGCCAAAGTAAAACATTTTGATTGTTAATATTTTTCGGGAGAATATTGAACAAAGCTATAGACTCCAATAAACTCCTGAGAAAAAAAAAAGATACTAGAATGTTTCTGGTGGTGGGCTTCATCAGGGTCATCCAAGAAAAGCTGCTGAGTCAGATGATGGAGCGATTTTTTTAAGGAAGTAAATAAAAAGGGGATAAAAGGTCATAGCCAACCAAGTGTGAAATAAAAAAGACAACATTAATGACTCTTCCTTCGGCTTAGGAACAAATGAAAAATTTATCCCTGAAATACTTTCTACCAAGAGTCTTTTGTTTTTGCTTTCTCATTTAATGTATCTTGAGTCCTGGTATCACTGTGAAATAAGAAATCCCTGTTAATCTGTCACACTTTACTGAAGTTAATGTTCTAATTGGGGGATTAAAACAAAGGAAAGGGGCAAAAGATGTACTGTGAATCCATTCCTCTAAAATTTGGTCACTCAATCTTGTATACATTCACTTTTGTATGTCACAATTGAAACACCGACATAAAACACTAAATTCAATGAATATTTTTTTGTTAAAATTTGCTCTTTGTTTCTTTTATAAACTTTTATTTCCTTCTTTTAACCACAAAACATGACGTAAAACACAGAGTTCCTTTATTATGTAACATGAGAAAGACTTGTCAGCTAATTTTCTAGAAAAAAAAAAGAATTTTGCTACTAAGTTTCACAGAATATATCTGCTGAGAAAATGATGTGTATATTTGTATTCAGCCCTGTTTAATCTTATGCCTTGAACAATAATAAAGCACAAGCATGATTAATAACATAAAAAGTAAACCTTGTAAACTAGTTTTGTGATTTACTCTCATTATTAATCAAGAGGACTAAGAAACACAGCAGACGGTCATGGAGAAAGTTGTGGAGAAGATTGCAAATAAATGTGAGAAGCATATTGAACCTTTGGGCCTGCATTGTGAGCATTGTGTGTTTGAGAAAACATGGAACAACATCCCTCGCCTTGGGGATGTGAAAGTGAACTGTTCGACCTGTCATTGTGATCACTTGTCATCTGAAACTGGAATGAACATACGGCACGACTGCAACCAAAAAATGGCTGCCGATATAAGCTGACAGGCTGGACGAAGAGAGCGTTGGTCAGAAAAGATGCCGCTGCTTACCGTAAAACACAGAAATCCTGTGGAAGGAGATGCTCTGGTTGAAAAAGTTTGACCTGCATGCAATAAACAATGGAAAAGTTTCACTTCACAACTGCTCAGAGTTTATAGCAAGATGGACAGACCTAAATACAAGAAAACCCCATCAAAAGATTCACCTTCCCAAAACAAGAAGCTACAAAGAAATGTTTTACGTCAAAGCGCATTCATATAGTCTGTGTTAAGAACTGACTATAAACCTGTCCGATCTGACTGAGCTTGAGTTATTTTAAGATAAGTGGGCAGAAATATTTCCTTCCTGATGTGCAAAGCTTGTAAAAACGTTAAGGTGTGGCTGCAGCTTATTGATTCAGGACAGCTGAATGCTCTCCACACTTTTTAGATTTGTATTTGTGAAGTATTAGACACATAAATGAGAAACACAACAGAAACACTGGGAAAATAATATTGATGTAAGAGAACACAGGGAGATGAATACATGACATGATAGATTGATAAACTGATGTAGCAAAATCGAAATAAATGAGAGGAGATCAAAATGGAAACCCAAATGAGACCTAAATCAGTAAAGTCCAAGTTATTACATTCAAATTAGAGTTATATGTTTAATAAATAAATACATTTGCAGTCATATATACTAAATTAGGATATTGCTATATTAAGTTAATTTATTTCAGAAACTCAATTCACTAACTGGTTATAGATAAATTCAGCACACATTGAAGGTTTCAAGCCTTTATTTCTGTCAACTATGATGAGTTTGAAATATATTTTTGGGGGTTGTCCATAATTCTGACATGCATAAATGAGGACTCAGTAAGACAGACTTAAATAAGTAAACGCACTTATTAAGCAATCCAAATACATTTATAGATTAAGAAAGCTGAACATTTGGAGACCAGTCGGAGGGACAAAGTCAATAAAAGTCACCCCTGAAACCAGAGTTTCTCTGCCTTTTGTAGGGGTGCAGGGAGCACACCCACAGCTTCCCATACTTGGCATCACTGC